GGGCGGCTCATACTGATGAAATTTCTGCTATACGTCACCTTCTGTGGGGTTGTGAAAGCACGCTGTCTGATAGACAAGCTTATGGTTTGCCAGCTCACGTCGAGCGCGTTCGAGCTTTCTTCCCGATGATCTGCTCTGGTACTCCGCCCTGGTCCCTGATCCAGAGCGGCTGTTGCCAGATCCAGCTATGGAGTTGGACATTTTATGGTTCTTTGTCGGTGATCCGCAGGCTGCGCCTCTACTTGCGTTCCCTGTCTTCGGTTAGCGGTTCAGTTCTCTGTGGCCCTTCACCGAGGGCATTGCGCTGCGGCTTCCCCGCGGTAGCTGTGGGGCCATCTGGCGAGGCGCGTGTGGCCGCCCATGGAGCTTACTCCGGTGCTCATCAATGCGTGCACAGTGCTGAAAGGTTGGCTTTGCTAGTTGCCCTATTGCATGCCTTATCATATATTCTAGTGGTAGAGATGTCGGTTACAGCGTTGGCCAGTGCGTGGTGGCTTCTTTTTACGCCCCATCTTCTCACGTTGTCGCTGGTTGGAGCCCCCATTCGGGCAGATGGGCTCGCATTCGTGCGAAAGCTGCCGACATCGGTTACGACAGCATTCAAATCCACAGGGGAAGGCCCGCCTCGTTGTCTCTTCTCCTGCCCAGGCCGCCAGGCTAACATCGGGGAGCCATCATGCCGACAGATTTGCTAAGCCTGGTGCTCGGCGTCATCCTGTTGATGGAGCTGCCATGGAGCAGGTCTTGTATTGTAGTAGAGCGCGTTGGCAAATGCATAGGTTTTGCCATGTCTCGTGTTCTGCCGCTCCTCCATACTATTCCTCGCCCTTTCCAGGTCGTCTTCCCTCCATGCTCCCTCCCCCCAGCGGCCGTTGCGATGCCGCCTACGTGAGTTCCACATGAGTTGGCCTGGGACTCTTCTGTACGACGATTTAGGTGCATAGCCTGTTGTGCCCCCAGCATGTGCAAGCTCGAGCTGTACAGGGCCCTTTCCCGCCCCCCATGGGTTCGGCCAGGCAGGCACGCGTACTGGCAGGTACGTATTGTGTCAATTCTGTGTTTCGTACTCGTCCACGATTGTTGGAGACTTTTGCGAACTGTGCAACAGGCGTCCAGAATCGACCACCGCCAAGTACAGACTCTGTAATTCGACGCATGGATTGGATCCCAAGAACCTTAAATGGTCCACAGGACTTGTGTCGCCAGCGCTCACGCGGCTATACGACGAGCTGGGGGACCCCACTGTTGTGTCTCCTAAATATGCTTGGGTCCCCACCGGTTGCCAGCCGCCGCCCCGCCGACGCCAGCGCTGGCGACCTGACCAGGATCGCCACGGGCTGCACCGCGACAGCTCCCTGGGCGCGTCCGAAAGGGAGGGGGCTTGATCGATAGAGGACCAGGACCAGGGCTAGGACGGGGGCCTGCCTCCGAAGAGGCAGGTCCAGGAAAAGGGGGCAGAGCAAGAAAAGGGGGCGACCGCGCTTTGCGCGAGTCGCTCGCCCCAGAAAGCACGGCACCCCCGCGTGCAAGAAATGCCCTGACAAAATAACAACGCAGGGTTGCAGAGCAATCTGCTAGCAGAAGCTGCTACCCCACTAAGTGGGATAGATCATTTGGTCGAGCCACCCGCCGAATTGCAGCGATTAGGGCCTGTCCGCCGAACGCGGAGGGTGAGAGCGGCCCGCGCTCGGTTGGGCCTGCTGGCGGCTGTACACTCGCCATGCTTTGGGGGCGGTTCGCCCCAGTAACTTCCGCCTGGCCCCAAACCAGTGCAAGCACGCCCGAAAGAGCACCGCTGTGGATCCACTGGCGTTTTTGTTGCATCATTTTTCTCGGGTTTGGCACCAACCCTCTGATGGCGAAGGGTGCGCCTGAAGCGGGCAGTGCGGCCTAGGTCCCGACCCTGTCGGACAGGTGCGCGGGTGGGCGAGGAAGGAGGGGGGGACCCCCAGGGGACGGCCGCAGAAACAGCGGATCCTGGGGGGAGGGAAACCGAAGAAACATATGCGAAGAGAGGGAGGCCAGGAGGGAGGGGAAGGTAAGGCGAGGTGGCTCACGGTTCCCAAGCTTCCGGCCGCTGATTTACAACAGTGGCGGCTCACCACCTTGTCCCGCCTTCTGGGCCACCCAGCCGTCGGGGAGTGGCCTCGGCAGCCCCTATGGCCGCTTCCCCTGGTACGCCCCCCCCACGGATTCCCTCTCAGGGCATGCGGCCAGTCGGGGCGCGGCCGTCGCGGGGGTCGTAGGGCCGTCGGGTAAGGCTGGGGGTCGAGGGAGCCGTCGTAAATAGGGGCCGTCGGGGAAAGGGGTCGGGGGGGCACGGGGTCGTGGGGTCGGCGACCTGGTCGGCCGTTCTGTGGGCCGTCCAGTTGCCCGTGAGGGAAGCGCTGTCCGCGCAGCCGAGGCAGTCCTAGCGGGGGGTCGGGCGCGGGGCGCGCGTCGGGGGCGGCGTCGGGGCCGTCGTGGAGGCCGTCGCGAGGGGGCGTTGTGGTGGTGGGGGGCCTTCGGGTGGGTCGGGGAGTCGGGGCGGCCGGGAGGGGGGCTCCAGGGGGTTGGCTCTGGCTGCCCCTGTGGCCGCTTCCCCGGGTATGCCCCCCGCGGGGTCCTTCTCAGGGCATGCGGCCGCTCGGGATGCTGAGCCCGCCGCGGGGCAGGCGGCGCCAACTCTGGCCTAGCCGGCGGACCCTATGGCCGCTTCCCCAGGCATGCCCCCCCATGGCCTCCCTGGCAGGGCGTGCGGCCACTCGGGGCTCGGCTGGGGGTTCGTGGGGTCTCGCGGGGGCCGTGGGGTAGTTGAGGGGGCGTTCGGGTCGTGGGGCAGTCGGGGGGGTCAGGTGTGGGGCGCCAGGGTGGTTTCGACTCTCCCTCTGACCGCTTCAACGGGCAAGCTCAACAAGTCATTAACAACCCCCCCACGTGTTATCAGTAGCACCGCGCCAATAGTAATACATTACAGGGAGTGGTTTTAGCCGGATGATACATTCAGCACCGCGCCAAATAACAAAACAAGCAATTTGCCCACCTGCCCCCTGCAACCGACATCTATAATACGGACTGGCGGCAAGAACGCAAGGACTTTGACATTATTTTCGAGAGTTTGCAAGAGTTTCATTGACTGAGGGCGGCTTGGTTTCAAAATGTGGCTTTCGCCTTAGCGCCGGGCGCTTTCTTTTTTGAACAGTTGCACGAGTTTCACGGATTGAGGGCGGGTCGTTTTCCAAGTGTGGTTCTCCCCTCAGCGCCGCGCACATTCTTGTTTCTCAACCATCCTGTGGTGTGGGGTCCTCGTTTTGAAGAGACAGCGCCCTGCGTCGCCTCTCTTTCCTCCTCCCCCTCCCCCATCCTCCCTCCCACCACCACCACCACCACCACCACCATCGTCGCCATCATTATCATCGTTATCATCCTCAACATCATCATCATCATCATCATCACCATCATCATCATCATCATCAACATCATCATCATCTTCTTCATCGTCATCGTCATCGCCATCGCCATCAGCATCATCATAATCGTCAGTATCATCATCATCATCATCATCATCATCATCATCATCATCATCAGCATCAGCATCAGCATCATCATCATCGTCGTCATCACCATCGTCATCACCATCGTCATTGTCATAATCCTCACGGCCGTCATCATGACCATCATCGTCATCGCCATCGCCGTTATCATCACCATCACCCTTTCACACTTTTCGTAACCCCATAGGGAGCTCCACCAAAGGGCCCAGTGCCACCGTCCGCACGCGTCCCCCACACCCCTTTCGGCACACCCCTCACACGGTTCGTGGCCCCATAGCGAGCTTCACCGAAGGTCCCAGTGCCACCGTCGACATGCGTCCCCCCGACCCGCTTTGGCACACCCCTCAAGCATTTTGTGGCCCCACAGGGAGCTCCACCGAAGGCTCCAGTGCCACCGTCCACATGCGTCCCCCCTCTACCCGCCTCGGCACACCCCTCACACGCTTCGTGGCCCCATACATCGGCGCTCCGAAAGCTTATTCCGATTTGAGAGGCACGGCGCCGCGCGAATGCAGCGCAAACGCTATGCTGGAAGGGCGCGGGAATGCATGCGCCCTGGAAAAGGCGAGAGGAGCCGCGCCCCCGTGCGAACTCCGATCCCGCGCGGGGCGCGTTCCCGTTGACAATGGCTCACCCGGGAAACCGTTTCTTGTGCAGGAAATCCGGAGCGGTCTGCCCATCGGCGGCTCCTTCGGACGAGGCCCGGAACCATCGAGAAACCGTTTTTGATAGGAAATTCTAGGCTGTTTGCCCATGTTCGGTTTCTTCGAGGTGCGCCCGAAGACGTCGAGAACAATGTTTTTTTTCGCAAGGAGTCCTAGGCGGTTTGCACATCTACGGGTCGTTCGAAGCGGACCCGAAATTTGTTTGGTACAAGTCCGATGGGATTTGGCCATTTTCAGGTCGGCCAGTAAACTTTTCGGGTCGTCGCATGACCGAACCTGAAAGGAATTGTTTTTGGAGGATGTCCCATGTCGTTTGCTCATTTTCGGGTCAGTACACCTCTTTGGGATTAAAATTTTACATTGGGAAGGGGAACCCGATCCCGCGACCCCGGGCGGGGGTTAGGCTCTGCCCTTGCAGTGCACTGGGCCCCTCCGGCCAAACGGGGCGGCGGGGTGCCCATCGGCGCGCCGACTCTGCCCTCGCGACATCGTCCCCGTCCGACCTCGGGCCCCGCGAGTCTTATCCTGCGCGCGCCACCCCAGATGGCCGCGGCGTGCACGGTGGCGAAATTGGGGGAACTTTCGGATCGGCGCAGTAGGGAGCTCCACCGAAGGGCCCAGTGCCACCGTCCACATGCGCCCCCCAAGCCCACTTCGGCACACCCCTCACACGTCGCATGGCCCCTGAGGGAGCTCCACCGAAGGTCCCAGCGACACCGTCCGCATGCGCCCTCGCCCTTCGGCGCACCCCGCACACGCTTCGTGGCCACATAGCGAGCTCCGCCGGAGGCCCCAGTGCCACCGTCCACATGAGTCCCCCCCAACCCACTTCGGCACACCCCTCACACGTGCCGTGGCCCCACAGGTAGCCCCACCGAAGGCCCCAGTGCCACCGTCCGCATGCGTCCCCCGCACCCATTTCGGCTTCAGTGGCCGTGCCCGCATGCGTCACCCACACACACTTCGGCACACCCCGCGGCCAGCTCCACCGAAAGCCCCAGTGGCGCCGCCTGCGGTTGAGAGGAGGCGGAGCAGCGTCCCCCCCACCCAGCAAGCGCTGGGTGGCCCCATAGGGAGCTCCACCTAAGGCCTCAATGGCAAAGTTCGCATGCGTCCCCCCCGCCCAGTACAGCGTTTCGTGGCCCATAGGGAACCCCACCGAAGGCGATACCTACAATTGCGGCGTTCACAACTGCCTATGGTTGGCTCCTTCGCCAGACTACTATTCCCAACCATCCTGTTGTGTTGGGTCCTCGTTTTGAACAGACAGCGCCCCGCGCCTCCTCTCCTTCCTTCTCCCCCTCCCCCTCCTCCCTCCTCCCACCATCATCATCGTCATCGTCGTCATCATCATCATAATCAGCATCACCATCGCCATCATGGTCATCATTATTCCCATCAACATCGCCATCCGCATAACCATCCTCACTCTCGTTTTCATCATCATCATCATAACCATCATCAGCATCATCGTCAGCAGCATCATCGTCATCATCATCAGCATTACCGTCGTCACCATCACCGCCATCACTATCATCACCGTCATAATCTTCACGACCGTCATCATCACCATCGTCATCGTCAGCATCATCATCATCATCATCATCATCAGCATCATCATCATCACCGCATCACCCCATCACACATTTCGTTGCCCCATATAGAGCTCCACCGACACCGTCCACATGCGTCCCCCCCACCCCTTGCGGCACACCCCTCACACGATTCGGGGCCCCATAGGGAGCTCCACCGAAAGGCCCAGTGCCACCGTCCACATGCGCCCCCCCAACCCACCCACTTCGGCACACCCCCCACACGTGGCCCCATAGGGAGCTCCACCGAAGTCTCCAGTGCCACCGCTGCCGTCCACACGCGTCCCCCCCATCCACCTCGGCACACCCATCCCGCGTTTCGTGGCCCCACAGTGAGCTCCACCGAAGTTTCCAGTGCCACCGTCCACATGTGTCCCCCCCACCCACTTCGGCACACCCCTCCCACGTTTCGCTGCCAGTGCTCAGGGTTTCGAGGGTCATGGTGCTGAGAGGCCCCCTGATGCCGCGCGCCAGGGCGACGCTGAGGGCGGACAGGCTGGCAACGGGGACTTGCCACCTAGCGCTGTGGGCCTCGAACCTCACGCTGCTCTGCCTGCTCCCCCTCCTCCTGTCTTAGTTCGCTCGGTTCGTAGTCGGACGAGGTCCCCCACCCCCCCGCTCACTGTTTGCGAAAGTGGTCCAGTGACTGTGTGTTCGCCCAGCCCTGTGAGGGATGGCAACTGCCGTCGACGTAGTGAGCCGCAGGACACCGAACGCAACGTGAGGCGGAGGGTTGGCTTTGAACCCGTATCTTTTCTTAGGGATGACACTGGCACGGTGCAGTCTAGAGCTCTAGCCAACTTGGGTAGTCTTGTCATACCTCCTAGGCCGGGTCCTGCCTTTCGCCCCGACAAGAGGAGGCGGGTATGATCTCATCGGCCCAGGCCCTTTCTTGGAAGCATCACCATCCCTGCTGAGGCCCTGCCGCCTAAAGGACCCGTCCCGTCTCAGGCCGCCAGGGGTCATCGGCTTTGGGTGGCCCCTGGAAAGGTTTGCCTCTGTGTGTCTTGCGAGTTGTCCACCACGGATACGGCGGGACAGCTCTTAGTGGATTGCCTCTCCTGTAACCCTGGTCACCAGCTGAGCGAAGGGCCCAGAGGAACCGCCGCCTTTTTCTCTCAGGATTTCATCCGTCGGACGAGGCGCGGGGGGACCCCCAGCGAGTCCCAGCGCCTCGACCCCTTCGTGTTGATGGCCCTGAAGTTTTATGGGTCAGGGCCCTGAGGAGCCAATCGTCGAACAGTGGAGTTGGGGGTCAGTAGCCGCGAGAGAGGAGCACCCTCATCGGTGTGCTCCCCGCGGCTCATTCACTTTCCCTAAGCCCTCAACCCACCGTGCTGTGCCTGGGGCCTGCCGCCCGAGATCCTCGCGGTGGGGTGGCTGTTCACCTTTCCAGGCGCGTGAGGACGGCACATTGCCGCCCTCGCCTGTCTGTGTCGGGAAGTGCACCACGCGCCCGTTTCAGCTAGTGTCGTATCCCCCCCTCCTCCTGCTCCTCCTCCTCCTCCTCCTGCTCCTCCTCCTCGTCCTCGTCCTCCTCCTTCTCCTCCTCCCCCTCCTCATCCTCTTCCTCCGCCTCCTCCTCTTCCCCCCCTCCCTCCGCCTTTCTCCTCCTCCTTCTCCTCTCCCTCCTCCTCTGGTGGAAACCTCTTATTCTTCCTCCTGGTTCCCCCTTGTTTTTTTCCGCCTCCTTGCGTCTACACCTACACATGCGTCAGAGGGTGGGGTGGGGGCGAGAGCGGAGGCGCATCATGGAGTTTGCAAACGGTTGGAAGAAAAAGACGGAGGAAGATAACGAGTGAACGAGTGAGCAAGAAAGCCAGGACAGGTAGACCCGCGCAGGGTACCACATGTGTATACATGTGTATGCGTATCTAAATACATTGTACCAGTATAGTTGACTTGTCGGCGACTTCATATACGAGCGATGTTTGTATGCGTATATATATATAGGGCTATCTACCAGACGAAGGGAGAGAAAGAGAGAGAGAGAGAGAGGCAGAGAGGGAGAGAGGCAGACAGTCCTATATATATATGTATAGTTGTGCATTTATGCATGTACTAATACAAGCCTGTAGAGATATTTGGGGAAAACCCTTGTTCTAGGATAGAGATGCGGGAAGGGGGATGTGAACGAGCTGCGGCCACCCTGGTTATGAGCCCGGGCCCTGCTCAGCGCGCCTCTTCCACCCAGTGCCACCTGCGCATTTCGCAGGGCGTCAGCATGCGAGGCTTAGGTCTCTTTGGTTCAGCAAGACGAGGAGCATACCAGGGAGGAGGGAGTCGAGGACAACGACGAGCAGTCGTGGGAGGATAGGTCGGCTTGATTCTTCCCCAGGCAGCCTCGCGGCAAGATCGGAAGGAGAAGTGGGAGGGGAGGAGGATAGTGGAGGGTGGATGAGAGAATGAAGACATGAGACGCGCTTGGAGGAGGAATGTAAGGCCCCGCTTCTACCGGCTCCTCTGAGGGCACCCTTCCGCTGCCAGTATATTCGTAATGTTCCTCACCATCACGCCTGAGTTGCCGTGGACCAGGACCCATGCTCTCAACCCGCACCATGCCAAATGCACCTGGTGGCAGACTCCAATCGAGGTGCGAACACATCATTAATTTGCTGCGACATGGGCCGCCATCCCCTTCACAACCATGCGATGTGATCGTGAGTGCCCGCGCCCTACACCATGCTGACCGACCCGCCGTGACTTGCAGGAATGCTTTGGGCTCGACGTGTGGTGTCCGATGTGTGCTGTCTCATGAGCTGGCGCGTCTGAAGCACCTGGCGCGCGCCGCGCACGTGGCGCATCGGGCGTGCCTGGAGCGTCTGGCACACTTGTTACGCACGGCGCCTGGGCGCACGGAGCACCTGGCGCACCTGCTGCGTGCGCCGCACCTGGCACTCGCGTTGGACGCCCGCGAGCGTGGCGCGCACCTGCCTTCTGGCGCTGGTGTTACTGGTGGCTGCCCATTGGGTGGCGACTGCTGCCTGCGCTGAGCCTCGGGCGTCGGTTTTGCAGGGCTCATTTCGACTCCTCCGGCTCGATGCGATTCGATTTCGATACGATTGGATTTCGGATTCCGATCTGAATTTTGGGCCGATCCGACTTCTCGATTCGATTATTGGTTCTTTTGGTTTGATCGTGTGAGGGTGGAGGATGGGAGTGAGCGGGGCAACGTACGACTACTGCTGGGAACTCGACCTCCTCCTCCCACGCCCGTGATCCCTTCCTGTCCCTTTCCACTCTTCTCCCGTCCCGTCTCCCCTCTCAGTCTTCCCGCGAGCAGAAGGAGGATAAGGGCAAGGGAAGGAGGAGGGGGGAAGGATGACGGAATGAGGAGGGATGGAAGAGGAGGAGGAGGAGGAGGAGGAGGAGGAAGAGGAGGGGGAGGAGGGATGGAGGAGGCGGAGGAGAAGGGATGGAGCTCTTTTCTTTACACGCATCCCTTCTCCCTTCCCTCTCCCGTCCCTTTCCCCCCCACTCGCCCTGCCTCGCCCTGGCGCTCCTCCTCCCCCTCCTCCCCCTGCCCCTCCCCCTGGCAGAGGTGGGGGGGAGAGGGAGGGGGTCAGGCGGGGGGAGTCAAATGCAGGGGGCAGACGGTTTCGGTCCCAGACTGGGGGGGTCACATGATGTCAGCACGTATACAGAGCATTCGGGTAATCTGTTCGGAGTGCATTTTTCTGGGGGGGGGGGATCGAGCCGACGCCCAATATTCCGAGCGCGGTCGGCCTCCCTTCCTCGGTCTACAAACACCCTCCACCTTTTCTGTTCCATCTCACTCTCACGTTTCCCCTTCTCTCCCATGTGGCTCCGTCTCTTCCCCCCTTGCCCGCATTCCCGCTCTTCCTCGCCCAGTCCCCGCGCCCTCCACCTCCAAGCCCACCCTCCCCCCCAGAGGTGGTACCGCAGCTAGCTTCCCGCAGGCTAAGTCCAAATTTGTTGTTTGTTTCAGCGCATGCGTGTGCACCCGCTCCTCCTGTTCCTCTTTTCTTCCCTCCCATCTATTAGCGCCTGGAGGTTGTGAAGTGGCTCCTGGCGACGTTTGCAGCGCGTTGCTGAAAGTTTCCATTGTTCCCTCGCGGACCTCATGTGGCGAAGGATGTGCTACTTTGAAGCGGTGGGAAAAAATTGCGGCAGAATGTGCGAGAAGGCGCAAGAAGAGAGGGGCAATGCGGACTTGTCGGGCAGGTGAAACCATGGCCATGTAGTGATGCGCGTGCGCACCACAGTAACCGCGCATTCAAGCCCTTCATGTCCCGGAGCACCCCATTTCGGCGGCGAGCGAGGGGGGGAGTGAGAAGGAGCAGAAGGCTCGGAAGCCCCCCTGCTTTCTGAGAAGTTCTCTAAGTTTTTCCCGAAAACGCTGAAAACTTCCCAGAAGGCGCGAAGGCTTCTGAGAAGTCCCGCCACCTTCTGAGAAGGCCTTCTTTTTCTCACTTGCCCCCCTCGCTCGCCGCCGACCCTTGCATACAGAGTCGCCCCCATATGGCGCCCCGCTTGTGCTGGCAGCATAAGAACGTCCCAGGTCCCCCGTGGGGGTGCGAAGGTCATCGCGCTTCGCGGCCAGTGCAAGCTCAGGGCGGATACGGGCGCGAGTAGGATCACGCGTCGCGCCTCGCGGGGCGCGTTGTCATCGAGAATAAAAGACCCGAACCCGAATGACACAGTGAAGACGTGGCCTTTCTTAGGTCCCCGCCTTTGCTGCAGCGATAAAAAGTCTGGGCTGTTTGGTTCGATACAGCTGCAGAAGTGACCCACTATCCCTGATGTGTGTGGCCCTCCTAACTTAGGTCCCCTCCCAAAGGGTCAGGGGTCCTTTCATTGCTAATCATGTGCGATTGCAGGTGTCCTGGCAGCCAGTCGTGCTTGTATGCGATAGGTCTCCCGGAACAAAGAGCACACATGCGTCCCCCTCCTCGTCCCCCTCCCGGGCGACCACGGCCTCGTCCGCATGTGGGGCGGGGAAGGAGTCGATCGGGTTCTGGAGGGGAGGAGGTGGAGGAGGAGTGGCAGGAGGAGGAGGAGTAGGAGGAGGAGGAGGAGGAGGAGGAGGAGGAGGAGGAGGAGCAGGAGGAGGAGGAAGAGGAGGAGGAGGAGGAACAGGAGGAGGAGGAGGAGGAGGAGGAGGAAGGGGGAGAAGCAATCAAGACGCACATCGCGGGGGTACGCTCAAGATCCTCTGGGGGACGGCAAAAGGGCGGGCCGGTGGGAGCCCATTCTCGCCATGCGCAGGCTTGGCTAGAGGAGGGGCGGGAGGACGACGACTTCGATGAGGACGGCGAAGACGATCAAGGTTTGCCTCTCCTCGCGGCACCCACGCGTTGTCAGCCGTGCTGCTCCGTCGGGCCTCACTTTCCAGCCGCCCCTCCCTCGCGTCGATGGGCCACCGATTGACTGCTGCGTGCTCCGTGCTGCTCGGCCCTGCCCCCGCGTGCCCAGGCAGACGCGGAGGAGGAGACGGCGCGGAGCCCCGCAGAGGACGCCGCCGCGACCGAGGCGCGCCCCCCATGCTCTCGCCAGAAGGAGAGCGCCTCTTTCTGCCCCCTGGTGATCGGGGCCGTTGCTGGAGGGGGGGAGGGGGGTGGGGGCGAGGGGGGCTGGTGACACCACGAGTCGCGCCGGAGCCGTCTGGACATTCGCCCCCCCCCAGCAATTCCCAGACGGCGCCAGCGCGATCCAGCTAGGTGGGGGGGGCTGGGCGGGAGCATGACCATGTATCGCGAATCGTAAAAAAACGCGCTCCAGTGCTCCCCCCGCCCCCTTGCTCGAGGAGAGAGGAAGCCGTGGCTCAGGGGGCTGGGAAGTTTCGGATCCAGATTTGAAGATTTCGGATGGAATAGATTCGTCGGTTGATGGGCGGTCTTACGGCCTCGGAATGCTCTCCAGCAGCTGCTCCTCGACGGGAGCGGTTTTTGGAGTTGCCGGGATCGTCTCGGACGGCCGCCAGAAGCCCGAGTGATGGCCCGAGGGTGAGGTGGGAGACGGGAGGGGGATGCGCTCTTCCGGTAAGCGAGAAGAGTCTCTGATGATGGAGGGCCCTTCCCCCCCCCAAAGCTCCCAGCGGGTAATAAAACTCGTCCTACGTACTCCTCGTCCCTCCCCTCCTCGCCCTCCACGCTCTCCCTCCTCGCCCTCCTCTTCGTGCTCTCCCTGTTCAGAAGTCGAGTTTCGTCGGGGGTGCTAGTGAGGCCGGGGGGGGGAGGCTGGTGAGGCCCAAGAGAGCATGAGACAGCCGAGAAGTCTTCCTCGTACTCCTCCACATCAGCTTCCTCGTCATACTTTCTCTTCCTTCTCCTCCTCCTCCTCCTCCTCAAGTGGACGTTCGCTCCTCCTCCTCCTCCTCCTCCTCCTCCTCCTCCTCCTCCTCCTCCTCCTCCTCCAGTCCCCGCGCCCTCCACCTCCAAGCCCACCCTCCCCCCCAGAGGTGGTACCGCAGCTAGCTTCCCGCAGGCTAAGTCTAAGTTTGTTTTCTTGTTTCAGCGCATGCGTATGCACCCGCCCCTCCCGTTCCTCTTTTCTCCCCTCCCATCTATTAGCGCCTGGAGGTTGTGAAGTAGCTCCTGGCGACGTTTGCAGCGCGTTGCTGAAAGTTTCCATTGTTCCCTCGCGGACCTCATGTGGCGAAGGATGTGCTGCTTTGTAGCGGTGGGAAATATTGCGGCAGAATGTGCGAGAAGGCGCAAGAAGAGAGGGGCAGTGCGGACTTGTCGGGCTGGTGAAACCATGGCCATGTAGTGATGCGCGTGCGCACCACAGTAATCGCGCATTCAAGCCCTTCATGTCCCGGAGCACCCCATTTCGGCGGCGAGCGAGGGGGGGGAGTGAGAAGGAGCAGAAGGCTCGGAAGCCCCCCTGCTTTCTGAGAAGTTTTCGAAGTCTTTCTCGAAAACACTGAAAACTTCCCAGAAGGCGCGAAGGCTTCTGAGAAGTCCCGCCACCTTCTGAGAAGGCCTTCTTTTTCTCACTTGCCCCCCTCGCTCGCCGCCGACCCTTGCATACAGAGTCGCCCCCATATGGCGCCCCGCTTGTGCTGGCAGCATAAGAACGTCCCAGGTCCCCCGTGGGGGTGCGAAGGTCATCGCGCTTCGCGGCCAGTGCAAGCTCAGGGCGGATACGGGCGCGAGTAGGATCACGCGTCGCGCCTCGCGGGGCGCGTTGTCATCGAGAATAAAAGACCCGAACCCGAATGACACAGTGAAGACGTGGCCTTTCTTAGGTCCCCGCCTTTGCTGCAGCGATAAAAAGTCTGGGCTGTTTGGTTCGATACAGCTGCAGAAGTGACCCGCTATCCCTGATGTGTTTGGCCCTCCTAACTTAGGTCCCCTCCCAAAGGGTCAGGGGTCCTTTCATTGCTAATCATGTGCGATTGCAGGTGTCCTGGCAGCCAGTCGTGCTTGTATGCGATAGGTCTCCCGGAACAAAGAGCACACATGCGTCCCCCTCCTCGTCCCCCTCCCGGGCGACCACGGCCTCGTCCGCATGTGGGGCGGGGAAGGAGTCGATCGGGTTCTGGAGGGGAGGAGGTGGAGGAGGAGTGGCAGGAGGAGGAGGAGTAGGAGGAGGAGGAGGAGGAGGAGGAGGAGGAGGAGGAGGAGCAGGAGGAGGAGGAAGAGGAGGAGGAGGAGGAACAGGAGGAGGAGGAGGAGGAGGAGGAGGAAGGGGGAGAAGCAATCAAGACGCACATCGCGGGGGTACGCTCAAGATCCTCTGGGGGACGGCAAAAGGGCGGGCCGGTGGGAGCCCATTCTCGCCATGCGCAGGCTTGGCTAGAGGAGGGGCGGGAGGACGACGACTTCGATGAGGACGGCGAAGACGATCAAGGTTTGCCTCTCCTCGCGGCGCCCATGCGTTGTCAGCCGTGCTGCTCCGTCGGGCCTCACTTTCCAGCCGCCCCTCCCTCGCGTCGATGGGCCACCGATTGACTGCTGCGTGCTCCGTGCTGCTCGGCCCTGCCCCCGCGTGCCCAGGCAGACGCGGAGGAGGAGGAGACGGCGCGGAGCCCCGCAGAGGACGCCGCCGCGACCGAGGCGCGCCCCCCATGCCCTCGCCAGAAGGAGAGCGCTTCTTTCTGCCCCCTGGTGATTGGGGTGGGGGCGAGGGGGCCTGTGACACAACGAGTCGCGCTGGAGCCGTCTGGACATTCGCCTCCCCCAGCAATTCCCAGACGGCGCCAGCGCGATCCAGCTAGGTGGGGGGGAGGGGCGGGAGCATGACCATGTATCGCGAATCGTAACAAAACGCGCTCCAGTGCTCCCCCCACCCCCTTGCTCGAGGAGAGAGGAAGCCGTGGCTCAGGGGGCTGGGAAGTTTCGGATCCAGGTTTGAAGATTTCGGATGGAATAGATTCGTCGGTTGATGGGCGGTCTTACGGCCTCGGAATGCTCTCCAGCAGCTGCTCCTCGACGGGAGCGGTTGTTGGAGTTGCCCGGATCGTCTCGGACGGCCGCCAGAAGCCCGAGTGATGGCCCGAGGGTGAGGTGGGAGACGGGAGGGGGATGCGCTCTTCCAGTAAGCGAGAAGAGTCTCTGATGATGGGGGGCCCTTCCCCCCCCCAAAGCTCCCAGCGGGTAATAAAACTCGTCCTACGTACTCCTCGTCCCTCCCCTCCTCGCCCTCCACGCTCTCCCTCCTCGCCCTCCTCTTCGTGCTCTCCCTGTTCAGAAGTCGAGTTTCGTCGGGGGTGCTCCTGAGGCCGGGGGGGAGGCTGGTGAGGCCCAAGAGAGCATGAGACAGCCGAGAAGTCTTCCTCGTACTCCTACACATCAGCTTCCTCGTCATACTTTCTCTTCCTTCTCCTCCTCCTCCTCCTCCTCCTCCTCCTCCTCCTCCTCCTCCTCCTCCAGTCCCCGCGCCCTCCACCTCCAAGCCCACCCTCCCCCCCAGAGGTGGTACCGCAGCTAGCTTCCCGCAGGCTAAGTCTAAGTTTGTTTTCTTGTTTCAGCGCATGCGTATGCACCCGCCCCTCCCGTTCCTCTTTTCTCCCCTCCCATCTATTAGCGCCTGGAGGTTGTGAAGTAGCTCCTGGCGACGTTTGCAGCGCGTTGCTGAAAGTTTCCATTGTTCCCTCGCGGACCTCATGTGGCGAAGGATGTGCTGCTTTGTAGCGGTGGGAAATATTGCGGCAGAATGTGCGAGAAGGCGCAAGAAGAGAGGGGCAGTGCGGACTTGTCGGGCCGGTGAAACCATGGCCATGTAGTGATGCGCGTGCGCACCACAGTAATCGCGCATTCAAGCCCTTCATGTCCCGGAGCACCCCATTTCGGCGGCGAGCGAGGGGGGGGAGTGAGAAGGAGCAGAAGGCTCGGAAGTCCCCCTGTTTTCTGAGAAGTTCTTTAAGTTTTTCCCGAAAGCACTGGAAACTTTTCAGAAAGCGCGAAGGCTTCTGAGAAGTCCCGCCTCCTTCTGAGAAGGCCTTCTTTTTCTCACTTGCCCCCCTCGCTCGCCGCCGACCCTTCCATGCAGAGTCGCCCCCATATGGCGCCCCGCTTGTGCTGGCAGCATAAGAACGTCCCAGGTCCCCCGTGGGGGTACGAAGGTCATCGCGCTTCGCGGCCAGTGCAAGCTCAGGGCGGACAAGGGCGCGAGTAGGATCACGCGTCCCGCCTCGCGGGGCGCGTTGTCATCGAGAATAAAAGAACCCGAACCCGAATGACACAGTGAAGACGTGGCCTTTCTTAGGTCCCCGCCTTTGCTGTAGCGATAAAAAGTCTGGACTGTTTGGTTCGATACAGCTGCAGAAGAGACCCCCTATCCCTGATGTGTTTGGCCCTCCTAACTTAGGTCCCCTCCCAAAGGGTCAGGGGTCCTTTCATTGCTAATCATGGGCGATTGCAGGTGTCCTGGCAGCCAGTCGTGCTTGTATGCGATAGGTCTCCCGGAACAAAGAGCACACATGCGTCCCCCTCCTCGTCCCCCTCCCGGGCGACCACGGCCTCGTCCGCATGGGGGGCGGGGAAGGAGTCGATCGGGTTCTGGAGGGGAGGAGGTGGAGGAGGAGTGGCAGGAGGAGGAGGAGGAGCAGAAGGAAGAGGAGGAGGAGGAGGAGGAGGAGGAGGAGGAGGAGGAGGAGGAGGAGGAGGAGGACTGGGAGGAGGAGCAGGACTGGGAGGAGGAGCAGGACTGGGAGGAGAAGCAGGAGGAGGAGGAAGAGGAGGAGCAGGAGGAGGAGGAAGGGGGAGAAGCAATCAAGACGCACATCGCGGGGGTACGCTCAAGATCCTCTGGGGGACGGCAAAAGGGCGGGCCGGTGGGAGCCCATTCTCGCCATGCGCAGGCTTGGCTAGAGGAGGAGCGGGAGGACGACGACTTCGATGAGGACGGCAAAGACGATCAAGGTTTGCCTCTCCTCGCGGCGCCCATGCGTTGTCAGCCGTGCTGCTCCGTCGGGCCTCACTTTCCAGCCGCCCCTCCCTCGCGTCGATGGGCCACCGATTGACTGCTGCGTGCTCCGTGCTGCTCGGCCCTGCCCCCGCGTGCCCAGGCAGACGCGGAGGAGGAGACGGCGCGGAGCCCCGCAGAGGACGCCGCCGCGACCGAGGCGCGCCCCCCATGCCCTCGCCAGAAGGAGAGCGCCTCTTTCTGCCCCCTGGTGATCGGGGCCGTTGCTGGAGGGGGCGAGGGGGGCTGGTGACACCACGAGTCGCGCCGGAGCCGTCTGGACATTCGCCCCCCCCAGCAATTCCCAGAAGGCGCCAGCGCGATCCAGCTAGGTGGGGGGGAGCTAGGGGGGGAGCATGACCATGTATCGCGAATCGTAAAAAACGCTCCAGTGCTCCCCCCACCCCCTTGCTCGAGGAGAGAGGAAGCCGTGGGCAACGTTCCGGGGGGTAGGCTCAGGGGGCTGGGAAGTTTCGGATCCAGGTTTGAAAATTTCGGATGGACTAGATTCGTCGGTTGATGGGCGGTCTTACGGCCTCGGAATGCTCTCCAGCTGCTGCTCCTCGACGGGAGCGGTTTTTGGAGTTGCCCAGATCGTCTCGGACGGCCGCCAGAAGCCCGAGTGATGGCCCGAGGGTGAGGTGGGAGACGGGAGGGGGATGCGCTCTTCCGGTGAGCGAGAAGAGTCTCTGATGATGGGGGGCCCTTCCCACCCCCAAAGCTCCCAGCGGGTAATAAAACTCGTCCTACGTACTCCTCGTCCCTCCCCTCCTCGCCCTCCACGCTCTCCCTCCTCGCCCTCCTCTTCGTGCTCTCCCTGTTCAGAAGTCGAGTTTCGTCGGGGGTGCTCCTGAGGCCGGGGGGGGAGGCTGGTGAGGCCCAAGAGAGCACGAGACAGCCGAGAAGTCTTCCTCGTACTCCTCCACATCAGCTTCCTCGTCATACTTTCTCTTCCTTCTCCTCCTCCTCCTCCTCCTCCTCCTCCTCCTCCTCCTCCTCCTCCTTCTCCTCCCCCTCCCCCTCCCCCTCCCCCTCCCCCTCTGCCTCCCTCCATATCTGCTCTCTTCCTTCTCTTGCTCCGTCCTTCCTTCTCTTCCTCCTCGTACTCCTACACCTCGCGCTCCGCCTCCGCTTCTCCCTCCCTCGTGCCAGGCAGACGAGAGCCGAATACAGCCAGGACCCTGGGCAATGGGAGCCGTTGATCGATTTGGCCCGGAGGCCCTCCTGCGCGGTCGGCGCTCGCAGAGGGTTGGGCCTGCCCCGAGGGGCCTCCCTGCTCCACGCATTCCGAATTACGGTCGGAACGAGGCAGAACAGCGAGGTCGGTTCGGGGAGGGTGACCTGGTGCTCTTCGTGTTTGCTGGATGTTCTCGTGCATCCGGGAGGGTACCCTTGGATGCTCCGGGTGTTTTGCACGACGGAGGGTCTCGTGCTCTTGAGGGAGGGATGCTCATGTGGCCTACGTAGGTCCGACCGTGCGCAGTCCATCCCTCCCCCCTGCCTGCCAGGCAGTCGAGGGGGAGGAGGAGGCGCGGAGCCTCGCGGAGGACGCGGCCGAGACCCAGGCCGCGCGGCTCCTCCCGCTCGCTTGCTCGCCCGGGGGCTCGCTGCCTCCCACCCCCCCGCCACGGCCAGAGGGGGCACTGCCCCCGCGCCCCACCCTCCCTCCTCGTTCTGCATTCCCTCATGCCCCCCCCCCTCATCATCCTGCCTTCCCTCCTCCCCCCCCCCCCGCCTCCTCCCACCCTTGCCTCCCCCTCTCCCCCCCCTTCCTGCTCATCCCCCATCCCCCATCCTCCCTCTCAGGGGCGGAGAGGAGGATGATAAGGAGGGGAATCAAGGGTCTCGCTTCAGCGAAGGATAAGATCCGCAGCTCGACGCTCGCCGAAGGAGGAGGGGGAGGAGGAAGAGGAGGAGGAGGAGGAGGAGGAGGAGGAGGAAGAAGAGGCATAGCCCTCGCCCTCTCCCCTCTTCCCCTCTTGCTGACGTGTTCAACTGCCGTGTCTTCCCCGGATCCGTTCCCGGGTCGCGCAGTTGTTTCTTCGTTTCCGAGCTCCGCTTTAGTTTCGCTTCCACTTCTACAAAGGCCAGAACTCGTGACGGTAGAAAGCCCAATGGCAACGATTGCTTGCCCAGCGCGTCATTCTTGGAAGGGATCCTCCTCTCCATCCTCCGTCTCCTCGGTTTCCTGCTCCTCCTCCTCCTCCTCCTCCTCCTCCTCCTCCTCCTCCTACTCCGCGTCCTCCTCCTCCTCCCGACGCATTTCGCGTTGCTGCTCGCCCTCTGCAGGCACGGTTTCGGCTTCAAGCCAGCCGAGACGGGCCTTCGATTGCGATTCTGAGAGGCATTGCTGGCGAAGGCCCCCTGGGATAGGCCTCGCGAGTTCAGAGGAGGAGGAGGAGGAGGTAACCACACCTCTACTACCCTCCCCACAATTGTCCACCTTTTCAGGCCTCCCGCCCGGGAGGCCCTCGTCGCCACCGCTGGACTCTCTTCAAAATTCTGGTCAGAACGCATCCCAGGAGAGGGCCGTGGAGTAGCAGTGTCGGTACCTATGCGTTCCCACGAGCTCCCCCGAGGAGCAGCAGATTTCGTTTGCCCCTGGGCGGACGTCCTTCTCGTCGCCTGCTCCCAGCCGCTGCTTTCCCTCCCCACCGGACAGGCTGCGGCTGTTAGATCTCAAGGGCAGACCTCCCTACCCTCTCACCCCGCATACCGCGGCCGCCAGGTCCCCAGGTCCACTGGGACTCTCCTGAGTGCCCCCCCCCCCCCCGCGCTTTCGACGAGCAGAAGAGAGCAGAGCATCACATAACACAGCATAGCAGAATCGAGTAAATCACACAGGCCCCATGATACAACAGAGCATCACACAACTCAGCATCACATAACACTGCATACCATGCCATGACAGGGCGTACTATACTATAGTCTATCATGACAGCGTAGTCGGACCAACACACACACACACTAAAACATGCCAGACCATCCATACCATACAATGACATACCATAACATAACTACGTACAAACATAACATAGCACCACCCATCGCATATCCTACCACAACATCGCAGAGCAGAGCATGTCGGAACATGAGTCGGTATACTATGTCATACATAGCAGAACGCCCATGTTCGACGACTACTACGATCATTACGACAGCGAATGTTGTACTACATTCACTCATGCATATTGTTCTGGGAAGGTAACAGCACATACCGAAGCATAACCTAAGATACTGTAACGATCAGCTCCCAACACAGCACGCAGCACATCGCACCACCAGACAGCATCGTAGCCTCACATACCATGACATGATATAACACTGCATCGCAGTACATAACACCACATATAAAACCATAATCCGTCGTAAAACATCCCATGGTGACAGTACGTGGCATGACAGGGTATACCAAAAAGGAACATCACATAACACACCAACATGGTCATACTACTGCTACCGCTACGGCAACACATGTAAGACACCATCACAGATTCTAGCTGCTTGTGTTAAGAACTATCTGCCAAATCATACCATACCATAATAGACCGCAGAATAGAGGATTGATGAATGTGATGTAGCAGAACAGAACAGAGAGGACTTTATCCAGCAGCTCTTGCGGAGCAGAGTGGGCGGGCACATCTCATGCAATACATTGGCATCGTAAGTGCGAACATCAAACTGAACACACATACCACGACGGCCATGCAGTAAATCGTAATATGGTGCAACGGTGAAGTGGAGTGTAAGCCAGAACAGGCGGAATGCAGTGTCAAAGAAGGACGCAGTCTGAGAATACGGAAACAGTAAGTCAGAGTAAAACGAAGAGTGCGATTGCAGAATGCCCTAGAAGATGAATGGGTATAATCGAATCGGATATACGGTCCCCGAACACAGACGAACACAACAACACATGTCAAGCAACACCGTTCTGCAGCATATTGCGGGCGAGAGTTGAACGGAACACATTGCAGCAGGACAGGGCAGATTTCAACAGAGTTTAAGAACACATAGCACAAATCATGATAGTACACCCGAATAGTCCATAATCGCATGTGATGAACATAATTGAAGATATCATCAGTGACCGATTAACCGTGCCCTATCACATGCGGCGTGGGCGCCGAGGTCAGACTGACCACAGGAACAACCAGGCGCATTAATGACCGACTTGGCGACGTACCAAACGTGACAGGCGTCACGACGTCACGCCGGCCCGTCGAGCACAGAACAGAACATGATATGAAGTAATCGGATAGAACATCCTCGTAGATACTATAACTGAAGATTGCAGAACACGGCAGCAATCGATTACGTAAGCCCTGTCAATGTCAACATGCGCGCCTGCGTAATGCTGGCCACAGGAACAAGCAGGCGCAGCAACGATCGATGAGACGACATGTCAAACGTGACAGGCGTCACGACGTCACGCCGCCACGTCCAGAGCATGACTCAACAGTCCAAATGTGGGTATAACAAAGCAGAACGTGATAGAGCATACTGAAGCAGCGGCCGGGTAATTGCGTCATTTCTTTCCAAGCAAATCAACATTATATATATATATAAAGAAAAAACGCGACCTGCGCGCCGAGCGCAGGCAGGCCACCGTAAGGAACACCTGGTTCGAGAACAAGAGCCGATGATTTCGGTTGGGATCGCTCGAAGCAAAATGTGGACGTGCGCTCCTCCCGACGCCTTTCGGCTGACGTTGATGGTAGTTTAGCCCCCTTCCCCATGCTGCAGGAGGGTGCCGCTTTTAGGGCGGACGGGTCTCCCCAGGCTCCGTTCCGCTGTCGGGCCAGCGAGGGCTGCCCTTCCGGCGACGACCGCTGGCACAGGCGCATCGCATGCGCAATTTGCAGGCCTCGTTGTTGGGGGGCGATAAGTGGGGGTGGCAGCGAGGGCTGCAGAAAGGGGCCCTTCAGGGCACCTGAGGTGGCCCTTTAGGGTCCAACAGGGGACCTCTCGGGCCCGAGAAGGGCACCTTTCTCCACCTCCCAAGCGATCATGGAGCCACGTGCCCAGACATCTGACGCCATGAGTGGTTCGATACGCGGCCCGACGAGGCCCGACCCCGCGCGGCCGCCCTCTCCAGCACCCTCGTTCCTCCCATTCCTCTCCCGTGGCGCCAGCGGCGGCGCGCGATTGGAGGAGGAGGAGGAGGAGGAGGAGGGAGGAGGAGGGAGGAGGGAGGGGGGAGGAGGGAGGAGGTCAACATATCAAGAGAGGTCATCAAAGTGATGCGTTCCAGGATTTTTCCATCTCTAGGGTTTCCTCTCAAAATCCGCGCGTGGCTGCGGAAACGAAGGCCGCTAGATGCTCCGGAGTTCTTTTAACGTACCTCGAGCATTTCGGATTATGATATCAGTCTGGCCCCAACAAGGAGGATTCAGGGGCGTCTTTTCTGTCAGGGGCCCCTTTCTGATGGCCCTTTGTGCCCGAAAAACGGATTCCGGAGGCCAGAATGTAGGACAGATGCCACGGCTGGACAAATCAGATCGTCGGAGTTCTGGGCCGTGTCATTCCAGGCAGACGACGGGTTTCGTTGCGCACATGTTCTGCCTAGCACTGCCCCCTGCCCCGCGCGCCCAGGCAGACGCGGAGGAGGCGCAGAGCCCCGCAGAGGACGCCTCCGCGGCCGAGGCCCGCTCCCCCTGCGCTCGGCGGAGGGCTCTCCCCACCCCTCCTGCTCGAGGGGGGGGGGACGCCATGGGCAACGTTTCGGGGGGGTACAGTCGGGGCCCTGAAGAAGGAACCCTTTTGGTTAGGGAGGGGCTCCGCGTTCCTTAAGTGTTTCAAAGCTTGCCTCAGGCTTTCCTTATGTTTTCGACAGGAAATCGAAGGTCAACTTATGGAAAAAAGGGGCCTCGTTCCTTATTTAGGGTTCCTTAGGTCAACGCCCCGACTGTAGGCTCAGGGGGGCGGGAAGTTTCGGATTTCGGATGGCTCCGTCGCTTCTCGGCGGTCCTGAAGCCTCGGGCTGCTCTCCGGCAGCCGTGCCTCGCCGAGCACGCCTGAGGGGTGTGCAGATCGTCCTGGGCAGCCGCCGGAGGCTCGAGCCCTGGTCCGGCCAGCACCGAATAAGCTCAGGGGGGTGGGGGGGGGGACGCCCCGATCCCCAGTCGCCAACTTGAGCGCCGAGAGGGGCCCGGTGGCCCGCTCCGCCCAGGAGCGTGCGGGTTCGGCATCGGCGGCCTGCAGCCGTTCTGTCAGCGAAGGCTCGCGGGCTTCGGGTCGAGCAGTTCCCCCCCTGAGCCGGTCCCCCCTAACTTTGAGACGGGAGGGGAGTGGGGCAGAGAAGGGACGAGGAGCTTCTCCTCCTTCGTCCTCCTCACGCGGAAATGAGGTCAGCGCGGCAGCGGGAGCACGATTCGGATCGAGCGGAAGCTCCAAACTGAGGCCAGCGCTGCAGCGGGAGCAACCTTTGGGGATAACCCAAAAAACGATCAGAGTTGGAAAACACATGCAATAATCCTGCTCGTAGGCATCCAATGTGCAAAAAACTATACGCGGAGAGGGGGGCGCGCTCCCTCATAGGGGTCTTTGGGGGGGGGGGGGAGAGGAGAGGAGAGTAGTATCCATATTGAGTAACTGTGGAGGAGTAGGGGGACCGAGGGCCTCGCTTCAGCGAATCATGAGGCCCGCAGCTCGAAGCTCGAAAGAGAAGGGGCAGGAGGAGGATCTGGAACCGGAGGCAGAGCCCTCCCCCTGCCCGCTCCCCTTCGTGCCTTCCCTCCTCCACGCGCGGCGCGGGGCTCTCGATCTACGCCCGGCTCCGTGCGTGCCGCGCAGCCCCTCGCCGATCCCGTGTCAAGGACGAAGCAGGAAGGCGCCCTTCGCCGGGCCGCCCAGTGCCTTCCAGAGACCAACATCATGATGCAGTTCCCGGGCATGTTGAGTGCAGCATCGGTGTTGGCGCATCCCCAGCACTGTCTTGTTTTAACTACTCATTCTTGCTGTGCCGCTACGGCTTGGTCCCGGCCGAATCCGCATTCATGGCCTTGTAGTCGGGCCTTAATCGTTCTTGCGAAGACCTCCTAGGAGTAGCCTCCTATCCCGCGGGTATCCGCGGCTGGCGGGGACAGGATTCAGCGCTGGGCGCCATGAAGCAGACGAGTCCCGAGGGAAACGCGATCTGAGGTTCGTCACCGCTTTAGGAACTCCTGGGGCCTTCGAAGGGTCCCCAGATTGTTTTGACACGGCACAGGATGAGAAGCTGGCTCCGAGGGACGAGCCTGGGGTCCAGGGAGCCGTTTTTCCTCGGGCCCCGCCCTTCATGCCTATAGCTGGAGGCCCACTGACCGAGCGAGAGCCACCTCCTCGTCCTGTTTGCAGAGGCCGAGCCCCGATCCATTGTACAGCCGGACCGAGGTATAAGACCGAGGCAGATTCGGGGAGGGTGCCCTAATGTTTTTCGTGTTGCTTGGATGTTCTGGAGCATCCTGGGGGAGGGCACCTTCGAATGTTATTCTGTTTGGACCGGCGGAGGGTCTCAGGTTCTTGGTCGGAGGACGCGTGGGGGCGGCGATAAATGGGGGGGCAGCGAGGGCTGCAGAAAAGGGGCCTGCAGGGCCCCTGAAGTGGCCCTTTAGGGCCCCAGAGGAGGCCTTTCGGGCCCGAGAAGGGCACCTTTCTTCCCCATCATATATCGCCCCCCAGCATCGGCGGCGAGCGAGGGGGGGGAAGTGAGAAGGAGGAGGCCTTCTCAGAAGGCGGCGGGGCTCCTCAGAAGCCCCCCGGCCTTCTGCGAAGTCTTGGTTGCGTCTTCGGGGAAGGCTCCGAAAGCTTCTCGAAGGCCAGAGGCCTTCCGAGCCTTCTGAGAAGGCCCGCCCTTTGTCACTTCCCCCCCAAAAGCTCACCGCCGCGTCCAGGAAGTTTGCTCTTCGACAGCAGCTCGCGCGCTACAGCGCGTCGTGGCCCACGGGGCGCAGCCAGCGAACGCCAGCGACCGAGGAGCTCTCGCCCCCGCTCACGCCCCAGGTGGCCGCGCGTGCGCGCTGCACCTGCCACGCGCGCAGGGCTGCCGCGGGGCTTCCTGGCCAGACGGAGAGGTCCCTGTGCCCGAAGTAGGCGGCCATCAGAAGGTTTGGTGGAAATCGGGATCACATCAGCCCCAACCTCCTCTCGTCGTCAAGAAAAGATCGACCACATCGGGCGGGCTTGGACAGTCTTCGGCCCTGGGGGCTCTCCCTGGGGGCTCTCCCCTGGGGCCCGTGGCCGTCAACAAAAAACGCCCAGCGCTGTGACGGAGTCACGGCGTCGGAGCTCTGTAGAGCTGCGAGTGCCTCGGTGTGCGCCCCGGAGGAGCTGCGCCAGCTGCCCGCCGCGGGCCCTCTCCGGCGTCGGCCACATGCCCTCTTTTCGTCCTTGGGCTTCGGAGGTCCCCGCGGAGGCACCCGGCAAGGTCTGACAAAGGTCGAAGCTCACCAGTCTTTCGAAGATCGGGTTCCCGATCTCACAGGAGGGCGAGCTGAGGCAACGGTCGCTGGCCTTCGGGGGGGCCCCTCGTCGCCACGGCTTCGCGAAGCATCAGGCTGACGTCGGGCCTGCAGGGCCATGCTGGCGGAGGGCACCTGGGGCCCCCGCGGCCTTCGGAGGGAGCCGTGTCTAGGCCCGGCGGGGACCACTGGAGTGTCTGCGGCGGCAGACAGGTTCATGCCGCGCTGCCCGCTTGTGGATCTCCAGCGTGTCCGGTGGGTCAAGCCTGTTCGTGAGCCCGTTGTTCCAGCCCCTGGTCCCTCCGTGGAGCAGGCCGCCGATTCCGTTGAAGCCGTGGGAGCCACGCTGTTGGAAGTGCTTCACCTGTGCCAACGTGATTCGTTCCTCTACTCACAGGCGTCCTCCACATCCCGACCGCTACGGGACTGTCACCGCACTGACAGCCTGAGAGCGTGCTGGAGAGCATGGGTCATAACCGTGTTGCCATTCTTTGCTCAGCCTATTGCGCCCGGGTCATCTGAACGAAACGCTACGGATATTGGGCATATGGCCGACTCGTAGCTTCAAGGCCCCACGAAGTACGCCTGGTAAAGCAAGTGAGGCAGATCTGGGAAGGTCGGAATCCCAAGCGGTCTGGGCTCTCAGCGGAACGAGCCCCCAGGCTGGAAGCTGCTGCGTAGCGTCCAGAAGGCTTACGCCAATCCGCCAGCCCCCCAGAAGCTGAATGGACGAGCTTCCTGCGGAAATGGGAATACTTAAGCATACGGCGACATCGAAATACCAGCAAAACTCTGAGCTTCTATGCCTCTGGGATCATCTGAGTCGTCGTGGATGTCTCTTCGGGCCTGCAGTGGAGCCACATCGAGAAAACCAGCCGAAATCTTCGGAGCATCTTCAGCAGGAAACTCAACTTCCCCAAACTATTCAAATAACATCTAAGCCAAAACTTGCGAACATCTCAAACCTAAAACAAACTTCCAGCAATATCTAAGCCAACACCTGGGAAAATCCCAACCCCCAAACAAGTTGAAACCGAAACTCCAGCACAACTTGGAGCAGACATGTGAAAACATACATATGCTTGATGCTTGGGCGGCCAGATTTTTTAGAGTTGCTTTTAGTTCAAAGTTTCCTAGGCCGCCGGGGTTTACATGTCGAGTTGTTTGTTCATCGTTGTCCCATATGTTTTTGGAGTTCGTCAGGCGGTCGGACATGTGTTGAGAGTTTGTTTAGAGTTGTGTTATGAGTTGCTCCCAGAGTTTATTTTTTGTTTAGAGTATATATGTATACATATGTTAGATGGTTGTTTCTGTTTTTACCATGTTTAAAAGTTTGTTTAGAGATTTTCGGCGTTTAGAGTTTTCCCCGGTTTTCCCAGAGTGTTTCCAGAGTGATTGTTTTGAGTTGTTTGGAGTTCCAGTTTAAAGTGGTTTGTAAGTTTGAGATTCCCCCAGGTTTCGGCTTAGAGTTTCTTGAAGTTGTTTAGAGTTGATAGTATCGCTGGGTGTGGATTAGAGATGTTTGGAAGCTTTTTTGAGTTTGAGATTTTCGCAGGTGTTGGCTTCGATATTCTTTGAAATTTGGTTAGAGTTCGAGATGTTCGCTGGTTTGGGGCGTAGAGATTTTGAGAAGTGTTTCTGGAGTTTGAGATTTCCGCAGGTGTTGGCTTAGAGGTTCTACGATGCTTCTTTAGAGTCCGAGTTTCTTTGCGCGACATGGCGGTGGGCCGCCTGTAGTCGCTATTGCCGAACCTAATTCTAGAGGCCCTCTTTGGTCCCACTGGTGGTGGTGGTGGCCCTCATGGCGTCGGCATTCGCACCCGCACGACCCCTGCCTCACGCGAGGGATCTCCCCCCTCGCCTTTGTCCTCCTCACGCCTGGCTCCGCCCCAAGGCTGGAGCAACGCGCACTGACGTCGTCGGGTGGTGCGGCCCTCGTCGTAGCTTCATTGCTTTCGCCGGGGCCGCATGGCGTGCAGACGTCCTGGGTCGGCTGCAATCCGCAATTGTGGCGGCGTGCCCGACGTCATGTCTCCTTTCGGCACCCAGGGCTCTGGCGTCTTGCTGCTGTGCGTTCGGTGCGGGGCCGTGGGGGCCCTTTTGGAGCCACCCTGGAGGCCAACGATTCCAAAGAGGGGAGGTCTTCGATTGGGGCCCCACACTTGGGAGCCGAACTTTTACCTCTTGGGCCCTCTTGGGACGCTTTTGCGGTGCTCGTGGGTGACCAACAAGTTCCGCAAACGGCACAACCCAATAGATCCCACAACTCCGAAGAGGGCGGGAGGAGGGGACCCCATTGCGCGCTCCACCCCACTGTGCTTCGGCAGCGATCGAGGGGAACAAAGCAAGGGGCCCGGAGGTGTGCGCTGACAAGAGAGAATCGGCGAAGGAGGGCTGTAGGACAGCAGGAGGCGCGAGTTGTGTCGCAGCACACAATCCGATGCCCAAGCAGCATTCGAATGCCCTGCGAAGGCACTATTGAAAGCGGTGGCCGACGAGGATACCAAGGCCAAGGCGCTCTTCGATGAGGAGGTTGCGCGGGGCATGGCCGAGGAAGGCATTCTGCTCCACACGACGATCCCCACATCCTCCTGAATTCGTGCTCGTTGCTTTGAGTACTGCCGCCCAGATGGGAAGTCGCACTGGGCCTTCACAGTCATTAGTCCTGGGGCCCCAGATGATGCCGCAGCGAGGATGACCAGCAGCTAATGCATTGTGACCCCGCTGCAGAAATTGCCCTTCGCGGGGCGATGGTCTGGGTTTCTGTTGACATCTTGGCACATCGAGCCTGGCCGTCCTGGGGTCGGGGGCGACCACGGGTGGGCGATATATCATGGCCTCTTCTTCTTCTTCTTTCAATGCGTCCTACCCCTGGGTCCCTCCGTGGTGGTGGTGAAGGTTTCGGTAGTGGGCCGGCGCCCCCGCCGCGCTGCTGGGCGTGGCCCCAGACACAATGTCTCGCCGGCCGCGCTGGGCCGCCCGCCCCGCGGCGTTCCCGTCCGTTTCTGCATCTCCCCAGCAGTTAGGACTATGGCATCCTGCTGCTCTTCACCCAGTGTGGAGCTTCGGGGGTCATCTTTGGGCCATCTTGGAGGAGATCGATCACAGGAGGGGGGCTCCTTATTGGCGCTGCCCCCGCGGGAGGCCGAAATGTGGCCCAAACCTCAGTGTCGTGAATAAGTTGGGCTTCCTCGCCGAGGCGTTTTGGACGCTGTGACACCTCGCGCCCTCCCTTCCAGATCCAAGGGGAGGGGATAAGAGGAGGGGCAAACCTTTTCCCGACGGGGAAGACGCGGGGTGGAAGACGAAACTTTCTAAACCACTCACGTCCTGCCCCTACCGACACACTGGTCTGGACCCCCACGCCCACCGAACCGAGCGCTCAAGTGATCCCCACCTCCCCACCCGACGCACCGCGAAGGACAGCCCATTCCTGCACCCCCACGCGACCGGCCCCCCCCCCAGATCAACCTAGAGTCACTCACGAGACAGGGAGGCATGGCGTGCACTATCTTCTGAGCCTGTCTCACGGGCGAGCGCGCCGCAACGCAGCACAAAGCACGAGCACTGCGGCGTGCTGTCCCGCCACGCGCGGGGCTCTCCAGGCAGCACTTCGCAACGGCAAGGGATGGGTGGGAGGGGTAGGATGTCAGATATGGCGCGAGCGAACCTGGCATGCCATCCTCCCCTCTTCCTCCCCACATCCCTCTGCATTGTTGGTTGATCGCACCTCGCGCCACCGGCCACCCGATCGTTTCTGTGCCTGGTGCCGCCTGGGGCTCAGAGCTGGGCCCACTTTCCGCCTGGGAGGGTGGCGGTCGGAACAATGAGTCCCCCCCCCCGCTTGGACCTCGGGGTGAGAGCCTCCGGCACAGCGGCGCGCAGACTGCTACAGCGAAAGCTTTAAGCAGGCCGACGGGGTGAGAGCCTTGAGCAAGCGACGGCGGGCCATGGAATCCGCCGATGTGATGCTGTCGAGGCCGCGGCCCCAGAGGTCGCAACACCCACACCGCTTCTCTGGGTGTGGTAATTCGTCCTGGGTCCATGTTTGAGGGCCGCGGGGCCCAGAGGCCGCCCCTGGAGGCCGAAATCTGGGACGTTCGCCCGAATTGAAGAAGCATCTCGTCGGAGATCTGTGGAGCCATCAGCGACGCGACGGGCGCAGCGGGAGCCTTCAGCACGACGGCTGGCGACGGGCGCAGCGTCCGATCGACCTCCCCCCGCGTGCCGGCGCTGCCGCAGAGATCCCGACCGCTTTCGCGGTGCCAGGGTTCATGTGGCCAGTTCTGATGTGTGATGATCCTGGAGCACGAGAGCGGTCCCTGGAGGCCGAAACGAAGGGGAAACGCCGCGATCAACAAGACACATGCCCTCGGAGGTCTGGGAAGACATCGGGCGCAGAGGAGTCCGACCGACCACCTCCCCGCAAGTCCGCGGAGCCCGACGGGCCCGAGCAGCACCCAACATCTTGTGGCCCCCCAGCAGCCCTCGATGAGGGCAGCGAGAGCACGTCTTCGCGGCGACGCCGCCGCGCCCCCGTGGCGGGCAACTGGAGCTTCGGGTAAGCACTTGGCCCCTGGAGGTCAGATGCTTACGCATGTCCACTGCGCCCTGGCCTTTTTCGCTCATCCCCAGGAACACCAACACGCAGTGGGTACGGACACGGCCAGACCGAGGTGTGAGATCGAGATCGGCTCGGGGAGGGTACTCTGATGTTCGTCGCATTTGTGGTGTGTCCTTGTGCATCCCGGGGGAGGGCACCCTCGAACGCTCTTCAGCTTTGCTGGTGGAGGGTCTCGTGTTCTTGAAGGGTGCTCTTCCGTCCGCGCACGCGCGCCGGCGGAGCCCCGCAGCCGCCGCCGCCGCCGCAGGACGTGGAGGCGGAGGCGCTCGGGGCGCTGGCGGCTGGCGGCGCGCACGGCGAGCAGGACCGCGCCGCCTCGCCAGGCCTCGGCGCAGCACTGCGCACGTGCGCGCGGGGGCGGCGCCGGCCGCCCGCGGGGGAGCTCGATCGCAAATGGCGGGAGCCCCGCACGTCCTCGCAATTCCGTCTCTAGAGAGAGTTAGCCTGCTCTGGCGTCTGGTAATCGATGAGGGAATGCCGATTTGCGCGTCGATGGGCGTCGGCCCAGCGTCGATCAGCGTCGACGAGCGTCCGTTCGCGTCGGTGGGCGTCGACTCGCAGGAGCCAGCAAGACGGCATGGGCGCCTCCCATGAGTTGCCACCCAAGGAGGAGCTGGCGCATGTGGGGTGTAGGCAATTGGAGTGACGATGGGGGCAGCGGGGGGGGCAGACACTTGGAGATGTGTGCCTCCGCGCGCCTCTGCCCGCTGGCCCCAACGTGCTACTTAGGGCGAAGAGAAGAGAAGAGAAGAGAAGAGAAGAGAAACACAGAAGAGGAGGGAGGAGGAGGAAGAGGAGGAGGAGGAGGAGGAGGAGGAGGAGGAGGAGGAGGAGGAGGAGGAGAAGGAGGAGGAGGAGGAGGAGGAGCAGGGGAGCAGAAAGATGAAGGCGGGTCCCCGAGCCATAGCGGCTGCCCTTTCCCAGGGGTCGGCGCAGATGATCGCGAGGGCGCGAGGATGATCTCGCATCGTAGGGCGCAAACGCGAAACGACAGTCAACCCGCCCATCCTTGGCCGCTTTCGCCGGCCGCGCCCCCGCTCGCAAAGTGTCGGCATGGCCTTTCAGGGCCCTTGCATCCTTACACCGCGTCCTTCTTATACTGGTTGACAGTGCGCGACCTGGATTTCCACCGCTCGGCCTTTCGATTCTGGGGAGTGCACCGCATTCGATCAGGCCTGGGTCCCCTGGAAGGGCATTGTCCCCTCGGAAGGGCCCTGTCCCCTCCCCGTCGCCCTCGCCCCAGCGAGAATCGCGCCGACGTCGAGAACTTCTGCCCACACGGGGGCCCCCCTCGGCCCGGGACCTTTAAAAAACGACTGGGCGAAGGCTGGCGGCGAGCGAGGGGGGGAAGTGAGAAGGAGAAGGCCTTTTCGGAAAGGGGCGGGGCTTCTCAAGAGCCATCGCGCCTTCTGAGAAGTTTCCTGTTTTCTGTATCTTCGGGGAAGGCTTGGAGAACTCCTCAGAAGACCGGGGAACTCCTGAGCCTTGTGAGAAGGCCCGCCCCTTCTCACTTCCTCCCCGGGCTCGCCGCTGACCCGAGGTGACGACGATGAACTGCGGGTTACAACTGCGACCATGGTTTCGTGGCCGTGTTCCTGCCCCGAGATGATGACGACGATAAGCGTGACTTGGCAATTGCGAACATGGCTTGTGAAAGGGTTTGTCTTAAAGGTTACCTGGGGTCACGGACCCGCTCCCCCTCTGGACCCTTTCTGGAACCACGAAGCTCATCCTCGGGACCCGCAGTTCTACCAACCTGCAGCGCGCCCACGAGGACCGAGAAAACGCTGGACCGACGACTTCTGAGGCGCTTCGGCTCCGCCGGCGACCTCCTTGCGAGGCGCCGTGGGCGCACGCGCGGAGCGGCATCGGCGCTCGCCTCGCGTCAGGACGCCGTTGCTCTATGGCGAGGCGGCTCCGCGGAGCGCAGCCGGGCCTCGGGCGCCCACCTCCCCTGTGGGCCAGGCGGTCCCACGGGCGAGCTCGTGGTACGCCCTTTTGGTCGCCAGCGGCGCGCCAGTGAGCTCTTCCGGGAGGCGCCCGCTACCCAGGCTCATGGCCCGCTCCAGCCCCCCTCTGGTTTCTTCTCCCTCCCTGCCGCCGCCCCCTTCCCGCCCGTCTCCCCCCTGTCCTCCCCGTCCCCTCCCCGCCCTCATCGTGACCTGCGTCGGACCGCTGCGGTGCGCACGCCTTCTGCGAAAGGGCCTCGCGAGAACCTGGCTCGCATCCGCCAGTTCAGTCATCCCAGTTGTCGTGGCCCGTCTGCAGAGACCCAGGTGGCGCGTCCCTGGCGAACGTGAGACCCGAATGGGTGACCGCGCGTGCTCGGGTTCCACCGCTCCTCCTCCTCCTCCTCCTCCTCCTCCTCCTCCTCCTCCTCCTCCACCTCTTGCGGACTTTCTGGTCCACCCGTTGAAACCCTCGACCCCTCCTCTTGGCCAACTTTAGGGGGAGGGTAGGACAAAAACAAGAGGTGATGAGAGGAGAAGATCACGACCAATAAAGGTACCTGAGAAGGGGGCTTGGTATCGCTCGGACGGGAGCGAAAGAAACACAGGGAATGGACGTCCGAGCGATGGTCACGGGGAGAGGGGGGCGGAGGGGCGGGGTGAAGCTGTCCGTGGCCACCAGTACATATGCATGGGTGGCCCGAGCGTGGGTCCCAGCCCCCTGAGAGGAGTTGAAGCCACCTCTGCTCGGCTCTCCTGGAGTGGGGCTGCCCAGACCCAGCCACCTGATGCTGCCGAGCACGAGAGGAAGCGAGCGGGGTGGAGGAGCGGTGCGGCGCGGCGGCACGCAGCGGGAGAGGGAAGTGCGGGTGGATTGGGGCGGCGGGGGGGGGGGGGTCGGAACATGGGCGCTGGGCAGGGTCCAAGGCGCAAAGCTGGCGACGGGCGGCGGTGCAGGAGGGTAACTTCCAGAGGTGGGCAAAAGAGTGCGAAGGTGGGTGGAAGAGGTTGTCTGATGGGGGGCCACCACTCCCGAGGAGGGAGTGGTGGCTCCCTCGGCCAGGCTTTTGTGTGGTTTGGCTCGGCTGGTTGGCCCGCGGCCGCCTTGGGGTGTGTACCCCGCACGGCGGCCTGTGGCGAGAGCAGCCCTTTGGTGTCCCATCCCTCCTCTCTCCCACCCCGCGCCCCCAAGGGTGGCTGCGAGTTTCGGTGCGGCGAGGTGGAGTATGTTTGCGGCCCACCCTGGCCTCCCTCGGCGCACGCCCCGCGGCCTCCCTTTTCGGCGGCCGCTTCGGCGACCCAGCTCCACCCTACCCCCCCCCCCG